CAGCATTAGAGAAATGCACGACTTCTTTTTGTGTAGCAGCAGAACCTTTTTGTACGCGTTGACCTGACGAAGTAGTTAGGTCGGGCAGCTGCCACCTGACAGAGCCGGTCGTGGGGGTGTGTTGAGCCGTCAGGGTTTACGACCGGGACCCGTCGCTCGCCTTTCGTAGAACGTTTCGTACTGGGACAGCATAAACCCTCTGCTCCTTTTGGCAGCCCTCAAGTGGCAGCCCTCAAGTCACAACCAGCTCGAAGTTGCTTGCCGTGGTCTGTTGTGGGCGAGTATCGTCTCTTGTCGTGTGCGTGTTGTGTCCATAGCCGCCAGGGCTTTTTGAGTTACTTGTTGCCATGGCAGCACTAGTTACACCGAAGCACGACTGAAGAGAAGCGCACTCAATCAGCTGGAAGAGAAGAAGCGCACAGTTGACAGGGCACGCCGAGAAAAGGAAAAAACGAGTGCTCGACCAGACGCGGTCATCGAAGATGGAGAAGTGAGGCTACCCACATATGGCCGGGATCAGCTGCTACCCCAGACACCCGTGTCTCTAAACGTAGTGCCTAGGACCTGGTCCCCGACATTTCTCCTATCAGGTGCGCGGTATCATGGCCGCCACGGCAACGGTGGCCGGCCCGAACGTGCAGGAACCAGTGCGCGCACACACAGACCGAGACGGCGAATTTTATAAGTACTTTGTGCTAGCTTGGTGGGGAAAGTTCGGTGGCAAGGACCCCATGATCGCTTTCCTAGTGCCCTTGATCGCCTTCTCAGATACATATTGTACATAGCCAGCTACTACGACTGCACAAATCCATTCCTCGTTTCGGACTCGCCGCCGACGTATACACACACCATTCTCGGGACCTGCACATCGACACGATGAGGGGAGCATTCCCGTTGTCTGGTGAGGTCTACGCCGGCGTTGCTCGCATAGAAGTCGAGGTCCTAACCATGAGGTGGCCAAGTTTGCAGACTAGAGGCTGCGAGAGTCACGGAGGGAGTGATGCTGAATTAAGTGGTCGTAGAAGCACTTTTAGACACGGGCGCGACTACGTGTCGATTACAGTTCCAGCATTTAGTGAAAGACTAGATGTCAACAAGCTACCATCTTACCACGGGAGACTCCCGAAGACTATGAAACAAGTGACAATCTATCGCAACTGGATACAGAACCTGCTACAACAGGGAAAGATCCGAAAGCTGCCGCAGAAACCTCGATTTACGCTACCGGTACGAATAGTTAATGAACGAGTGACACATGACTGCCGCCCTCTACTACCATTTATCACAACAGATGGACGCTTTCCGAACCTACAAAGCTGTTGGCCGATTGTAACCTGGGCCGCACAGCAACCGCACCTGGCGAAGATTGACCTAAAGAAAGCGTTCCACTCCATACCACTTGCCAACGACCAGATCGGGGCATACGCATTTGAACTAGAAGGCAACTACTATGCTTATATGACGATGCCGATGGGCGCCACAAACGCCCCCAAGCACTTTCACCAAGTTATGGGCATCATACTAAGCAAACTACCGTTTTCACATGACATAAGATACTACCAGGACGACATATTCGTCGCCGCAACTGATGCTAAGCAACTCAAACAGCGATATCAAAGAACTATAGATTACTTAATGTCACAGAACTTCCAGATCAACTATGACAAATCGCAACTTCAGTGTAC